GACCGTTCTCCTCACTGGCTTTCCGCCACTCACACCGAACAAGACACTGCAGGCGCATTTATCGCAGTACGGCAACATCGAGCATTTCGGGAGGCAGATGGACACTGCGACCGGGGCGACATTGGGCGTGGTGTGCGTGCGGTTCAGGAAAGTGGACGAGGCAAGAAAGTGTGTCGACAAGGAGGACGGCGCGCCAAGCGGGAGTGGCTTGAATGTGAATGGGATGGTTGCCGGTGGAGACGAGCGCAGGGCGGTGCTGGATCCCGAAGGACTCGTCTTGAAGGCGTATCTCAAGGAGATTGACGACAGGCGGAAGCGGGAACGGAGGGACAAGGAGCTCAAGGAAAAGGCGGAAAAGGCAGAAAAAAGCCGCCGCCGCCGCAGCGGTGGTTGTCGACAAGCCCCCAGCGCAAACGCCAGTCCAAACAACAACACCACCACTTCTTCCAAATGGACACGCCGTTCCGCCCCCACCGATAACTATCCCAAAACCCATTCATCCCTCGTTGCCGCTCAACCCGATGTTGAATAACGCTGCGGCAAGTCCGGTAGCCCACCGGAATGGCATTGCCAGCTCGTCGTCGTCCCAATGGTACCGCCAGCCCAACTCGCGACTTCCGCAACGGCCAATGAACAGCTGGCGTCCGAACAACCGAAGTCCGTCCCCTCAGCTGGACGAGCGAGCACGGGCGCGGCTGCAGCCATCATCTTCGTCGTCGTCGTCTTCGTACTACAGAGACCGTGACCGTGACCGAGATCGGGGAAGAGATACATGGCGGAGGCGAGAGGACGATGTGTATCTGGGGTCTGCTGCGTCGGATCGGGAACGCGATCGGGAGAGGGAGAGGGAACGTGAGCGGGAGAGGGAGAGGGAGAGGGAACGGGAACGGGAACGGAACAGGGAGCGCGAGGAGGAACGAGAACGAGAAAAGGAGAGGCAGAGAGAGAAGGTCAAGGTCGATACGCGGGCGGCGTTGAGTGCCAATGGGGTGGAGCATGTGAGGATCAAGTTGCAGACTTCTGTCGATGCAGTGAGGGACGAGGATGTTTCGGATTGGGCGCTGGATTTCAAAGGAGATGTTGACAAGGTGCGTTGCGTTTGCGATTCAAAAAAAGACCTTTTGTTGATAACTTTGGACAGATTCTCCGCGACCACGAATACATCTACATTACGTTCCACTTGCACAAGACCGCAAGGCGCGTTGAACGCGTGCTGAGCGGCAAGACGATTGGGTTCCACACTGCCGCGCTCAGCGTGCATGCTGCGCCCGCACCGGAGGAAGGCTGGGGCGAAGCGGAGATGTTGAGGAAGGCGCAGGAGATGGTGTTGAAGGAGCTGAATGCGTCGGTGGAGAAGGATATCAGCGATCGGTTGGTGGCGCCGGAGGTGCGTGCGTTGATGGGTCAGTGGAAGGCGGAGAAGGCTTCTGGAGTTGGGATTGGGGGCGGCAACTTGCACTTGAAGGACCAGGTCGCGGCGCCGAAAGTGATGGATCTCAAGTCGCTTTCGTTCAAAAAGGCGACAACTACAAAGGCGACGAGCAAGGTCAATGCGGTTCAACACCAGCCGGAGGAGGATGCAGTTGTTGTCGAACGTCCAAAGAAGAAGCGGAAAAAGGAGAGTGTTGTCAAGAAGCCGCCGAAACGCGTTGTTGTGCCAGTGCTTCCGGTCGAGTCGGAGGACGACGAGGATAATATCGTCGAGTCGGAGGACGAGCTTATTGGCGATGGGCCGAGGAAGCGGCCGCATGTTGATGTTGACGAGCTGTTGGAAGAGGAGGAGCCTTTGAAGAAGCGGATCAAGCTGGATACGGAGGAAGAGCAGGAGCAGGTCGAGAACAACAAGACCAAGAAAAAGGCATCAGAGAAGAAGCGCAAAGTGTCTGTCGACGATATCGTCGTACCCGACGATGTGGACACGTTCGAGTCTCCCGCTGTTACCGATGTCCGACTCTCTCCCGAACCCGAAACGTCTTCCCTCTTTCCCTCTCGCTCGGCCTCGCCCTCCTCCGAGACTCAAACCCCTCCGCCGCGTACCCCAACCCCTCCGCTTCCCGATGCGTTCCAAGTCAGTCTGTGCGACGACGACGAGGATCTGTATTTTGCCAAGCTGGTGCTTTCTGGGCAAGAGGTCGAACCGACGTTGGAAGATATACTTCCCAGTGCTCCACCGCCCACCGAGCCGCTGCTTCTCCGGAAACACGTTACGGGGTCTGCCCGCACCGAGGGCTTTTACGAGATCACACATGCGGAAAAGGCGACGTATGTGACGCAGTACCAAGCCCGTGCGGCCGACAACAACAACAACACGGTCGAGACGAGTAAAGTGGTTGTCGACGAGCCGCCGCCGCAACATGTCGAGTCGTCCCGATCGAATCGCGCCAACGCCCGTCGACGGGCACAGGGCTTGGAGGAGTTCAACCAGGTGCAGCGGGCCGTGGCGCTGTCCAAGGGCGAATCGGCGACTGGCGCGGGGGGCAACGAGCTGACGTTCAAGTTCAACCAGCTGCAGACGCGCAAGAAACATTTGCGCTTTGCGCGCTCGCCGATCCACGACTGGGGGCTGTATGCGATGGAGAAGATTTCGCGCGGGGAGATGGTGATTGAGTATGTGGGCGAGATCATCCGGGCGCAGGTCGCGGAGAAGCGGGAGAAGGCGTATGAGCGCCAGGGGATTGGGAGCAGCTATTTGTTTCGGATCGACGAGGATTTGGTGGTGGATGCGACGAAGAAGGGGAATCTTGGGTGCGTTTCATCTTTTCTTGCTGTTGAAGCTGACCTCATCGGAAAAAAACAGGCGTCTGATCAACCACTCCTGCGATCCTAATTGTACCGCCAAAATAATTACGATTAATGGGGAGAAGAAGATTGTCATTTACGCAAAGCAGGAAATCGAGCTTGGGGACGAAATAACATATGGTGCGTTCTTCTTTCTCTTTCCACTCATTTCCTTCTTCTAACCTTTTGCTACAAGATTATCACTTTCCGTTTGAGCAGGACAAGATTCCTTGTCTCTGTGGATCGGCAAAGTGTCGTGGCTTTCTCAACTAGAACTAGTATTTTACCTCTCTGTTTCCCATACCCCTCATCTCGTCAAACTGCATATTTGTTTTTGTTTGTATTCCTGTTCAATATCAAATCGCTAGCGCTGCTTTCTGACTGTGGAATTATTTGTGTGTGTGGTTGCGCGCGTTTACTGCCGTTCACTAGTCGCTGAGGCTGTATCAAACCTTCCCGCACGAACCATTTTTTGGAGATGCACCCAAAAAACACACTTGTTCGCACGATTACATCCACCGGCTGCCAACCACTGGCAACAAATCGCTTCATGAACGGAAATTAGTGTGTACGACGTATATGAAGCCGAGGGAAACAGACTCTTCATGTCCAAGTCCGTTTCGTCGATAAACTAACTCTCGTCGCGTGGTCATCGCTCGCATATGCACCAAAGTGCTCGTCCTCCGAAGACGCACGTCCTGCGCAAACAACCGTTGCGATTTCTACGCAAAGATATCTCGGTGGATGCTGTTCATATGAGATGAATGAGTTTGAGGTGTCGATCAGCGGAGGAATGACATAGGGTAGATGATATATACATGAAGAGGATGTATCTTGGAGATGGACTGACGAACATAAGAATAGCTAAATTGTAGATGTCCTGCGAATCTTGGATGATTCCTTGTTGCAGCGCCAGCGGGCAAATGAGCAAGGTCTGCGGTCGCAGAGCATCAGAAGGGACCAGGGTTGCGAGCAAAATTTACCTTTATGCACGAATATATAGGTCATCAGAGCGCACAATCCTTCCCTACTCTGCCCCATGAAGATGTACCAGCCCTCCGCCGTGTACGAGTGTCGCATGTAGCGATGGACGTCGTACAAAAGACCCAGTCTGCCGAACAGTTCTGCGCTTGCGCACCCGTCACGAATCGTCTGCTGCATTGTCAGCCAAAAAGAAAAGAAACGGAGAACAGCGATCGCAACGTACACCGAGCTCCATGGTACTGCTTGAAGCAAGTCGGTCGATGCAGACAAAGGTAATTGCGAGTTGTTGTAAAGATTGCCCAAGGCTCCAGTCTGCACGCCTGATGCGCCCGTCGCGGAAGACGTCTTCGTACATCGGTTGAACAGTGCTATAGGAAAGTGGGAGAGGCGGAGGATAGTTGAGAGGAGATTGACACCAGAGATGTCGATTCCGGAGTGTTGCCTCTAGCCATTCCATATGCGGGCGGACGGATTCGTCAGGCACAGTCTGGCCACTGAGGTCCCATGGCGTGCCCTTGTACAGAGAGGGACGTTCGAAGGCCACAGCCACTGGACGGCGCTGTCGATGCCTGTGGAGGATTAATCATGAACGGGTTCAAGAACAGTATGCGCACCACGGTCTTCGGCCGTCGTCTGTGCAGAGCCACGCCATACAAGACGGCAAAACGGGCGAGCATCTAACAAGCAGGTGCGGTTGGCAGAGTTCTGCAGAATCTGGAGGGAGGACGCCTTGCCTGATCCAAGGGCCATCGCAACTCGGGTTGGAGGTGACGTAGGCCTTCATTTGCTGGCACTCGAACGACTACATCCCCGAGTCAGTCTAAACTACGTTGGTGTCGGGAAGGTGGGAACTCCGGTAGTGTGGCGGAAATGCAGGAATAGGCACGATGCCCCACGAGGTGTTGATATCCGATAGAACAAGAGCGGGTGAAGGCTCCGGGGAGAGAGGCGCAGCGGATTTACGAGCCAGCTCAACAGAGTGGCGAGCCCGGGGCATGAGTAGGAGAAGTGCTGTGACATACTTGACAGCCCCTAACCTGACAATCAAATCAGACATGAAAATTTCCAGGAGACTTTCCTCGCGCGATGGCGGGCTCCAGTAGGCTCAATTCTGCTTCGAATTGCCTGAAACCAAGTGTGTTCGACGCCGTTTCTCCTGCGCTTTCATTCGGTACCGGTATCTCGTCCAACTGCCGCATAAAACGTCGGTTTATTCGTCCTTTTTCGCTCCTTTTTATCGCTCCTTAGCTCAGCTGGGAGAGCAACAGACTGAAGCAAATCCTCTTCAGGACAATCTGGAGGTCCCGTGTTCAATCCACGGAGGGGCCACTTTTTGTATGTTTTTGACAGTCTCCGTTCGCGGAGACTTCCTTTTTCGATGTCCTATCATTCATAATAGCCCTTTATCTGCTCCCCAGCGACTGAAACATTTGCTAGACGTGAAAAACAACGCCTGCTGCTTTGTTCCGACCTCTAGCATTCTGCTTTTGCCTTTCGTCCCGACTACCGAAGCCACCGACCGACTTATAAACTGCCGCATCGCCTTGAACTCGCACACAGTCCATGGACGCCGTCGATCTCCTTCTCGAGAAGCTCTTGGAGGATTGTATTATCACGATTCGACTGGCGTTGCCTCTGTCTGTTCTCGACGACATCGTTAACGTTCGCACAGACCCCGAGCCACAAGTGATTTCCCATGCTATCGCGGCCTTCCAGCCCACCAAGTTTCACTTCGCTCGTCAAAAGCAATTGCCCCTTCAAGTTCTTGTGTTGGACACGACTGCCAGTGTAATACAGCGGGAGAGCGACGTTCCTCACCTTCACCGTCACTGCTTCGCTCAACGATGCCTTGAGAAGGTGCTGACTTATCGTCATATTCCTCGGCTTCTACCGGATCGTAACGGCCCTTGGACAGTCCGCGACAAGGCGTTCAAAAAGTTTGTCGAGTACGTCCATGTGTCGCAGCAGACCTCGAGACGTTCGCGTATAGTCGGTGGATTGAAACGAATGTACAAGTAGAATACATAAATATACCTACTTTGAAAACTTGCCAAAGAATCGCTTGTAGAAAGAAGGAGGCTTGGGCGGCGGGTCGCGATTGAACCGAGTGGGCTGGTACACAATCGGCAAGTCAGACAACTGCTCTTTACCCTTGTACAGCGAGGCAGAGCTGGCAGCGGCCGCCTTGTTGCGGATGACATACGGAGAGTACGCGAGACGGGAGGGCTTGGCCGCATTAGCACGCATCCGGGCCGCGTCGGGATGGTCCGGCGGGATCTGGCTGGCTAGGATGGCACGGTACCGTTCCTCGGCTGACATCCCTCGCTCCTTCGGCTTGGCCTCCGGCCACGGCTTTTTCGCCTCCTCGATGAACTTTTCGGCTAGCTCATTGAGCCGGCGCTCCTCTGCCCCGTGAAAGTCGAACGAGTCGGAGATGAATGGCAGCGAGAGATAACCTGGCGGGTCGTTGTCCGATCCAAACATGGTGGTGAACGGGTTAATCTTGATTGTCACTGGGGTGAGTTCGGGAGGAACCTTCGATTCCACAGTGTCAGCCTTGGATGGCTCTTCGACGGTAGGACGCGGCGACGGAGGCGTTTGGTCCATGTACTTGGAATGAAGGGTCGCACTGGACTTGGACTTGTATTTGAACGAGCCCGGGACAGGTGCGAGCTCACCGTCTCGGCGACAGAAAGACGGATATTGCTCGTCTTCCTTCACCTTCGAAGCGGTATGGGACGGTGGCTTTTGTTGAGTGACAGAAGGGGATGGCATGGATTTCATAGGCATGGGTGGCATAGACGGCATAGGTGGTTGTTGGGCATGGGCAGGAGCAGGGGCGCGTTTGGAGCTGTGTGCCGACTCGGAGCGTCCGGAAGCCGATTTTGCGGCGGATTCGTGACGGGATCGGACAGAGGCCGCAGAGATCGACTCGCTAGGTCGGCGAGTTGATGACTTTGCCGGCGAACCTCGGGTAGTCGAGACGGAGGATTTAGCAGTGGCAGAAGACTCGGTGCGAAGACGAGTTGATTTGGGCGTCAACTCGTTGCGACTCGAGTGGCCATGGGTGGATGACTCGGTACGCGAACGAGAAGAGATGGAATGGCCGCTCGACTCGGTGCGTTGGCGAGCGGATGAGGAGTTAGATTCGATGGGCGTGCGAGTGGATGGCACAGCGATCATGTCAAGGCGCTGACGACGGTGCTCGCGAGAAGGAGGTTCGAGCTTGGCCGTCGGAGTGGGTGTGGGCAAGCGTCGAGTGGGAGCCTGGCGGGCGGCAGGAACTTGACCCTGAGGGTTGTGCGCCAGAGCAGTGGTGTCGACGCGCTGGACGTCGAGCAGCGCCGTTGAGTGCTGCTGGGTCGCGTGCTGCGTGTTGACATTGGTTTGTTTGGTCTGCGACATTCTGGGACATTGTAAGCCGTGCCACCCACGAAGAAAGATTGCGAGTACATACGTGAGGAGTGTGTTAGAGTTGGTCTGGTTGGTTGGAGGCGAGTAGCGTTAAGATTGGCGAAGGAAGCGCGAACGAATGTCTTCTGGGAACAAATAGTTCGAACACGGACCTTTATATGTAGTCGCATTGTGTGTTGATTTGGAGGAAGAATGTTCTATGAGCATCAAAGCACATCGGCACAGGTTGACCTGGCTATGGGCCCGTCAGGAACTCGGTCTGGCCGGCATTGAGCTGAAGAGCTCGATATGGGAAGTGGCGAGTAGGACATGGCACTTCAAGTCACCAGTAATTGACCGCGCCGAGTCGGCGAAAGAAAATGTGTCTTGACGAGCCCGAGGAAGTTTTCTCCCATCCAAATTGCCCCGAAGGTATAACTCTTGAGACTCGAGTTGAAGAGCGCCGGCGTATTGGTACGAGCGAAGCAAGATGCGCACTGACCAGTACTAGTAGGCCCGCTCGCGATATTTGGATCCAAGCATTTGACATCGGCGACTCGGTGAATCGAGACCAAGTTCTGGAAACTCGCTGGAAATGATGGCATAGAATGGCCCTGAATGGATATCTTTCGAGGTTTGCATGGCCAGTCGAATGGGGAGTTTTTGTTCGAAGGTCGTTTAAACGGTCCAGCTTCAGTTTGTGTTGGCTAAAAAGGCTGAAAGCAGACCCCAACGCCTTACGGCGCAAAATTAATGGCGTAAAAAGACTCGGAGTCGATGGCCCAGAGGCTGGTACATAAACCAAGAGGCGGTTGGAGAAGAACGAGGCTCGCATCAAAAGCTAGATCAACCCGGAACTATTTTCTCTTTCTCCTTGCGGAGGTTACGAAGCAAAGGGTCTGTCAAGAGAGACTACCATAATCCAACTAAATAAACGACTCAGTTCGTGAATCCGTCGATAATGCCATCATAAGCCGGCTTGGTAACGAGATTCTGCAAGAAAGAAATTTCAGATCCAGGTGGGCGAAAACAGTAGAATCGCATACGTCGTCCCATGGAAGAGCGGCGCCTTGGCCAGAGAAGACGCCTGGAACCCAGGAGTACTAAAGGGAATTCAGCAGGCAGGTCGCTCTAACTCTGAACTGATACCCACCTTGTCTGTGTAGTCCCAAATCGTAACACCGACGCATCCCGCGACAGCCTTGCACGCGGAGATAACCGCGGTGTAGTCCGCCTTCTGCTGTGCCAACAGCGCTGGAGTTTCGGGGAGTGTCATGCGGATATCGAGTTCAGTGATGGCAATCTCAATACCAAGGGCAGTAAACGCCTGGTAGTTCGCCATTAACGTGGCCTTGGATGGCACCTCGCCGACGATGAGATGGCCTTGGATTCCAACGCCATCTATCGGCGTCCCGGCAGCCTTGAGAGCCTTGACGAGGTTCTGCATCGCAGTGGATTTTGCGCCGGCGCTGTCGATGTTGTAGTCGTTAATCTGTGGTCTCCGAGGTCAGCCAAATTTTATCCGCTGAAAAGGCAGGCTTACATAGAGCTTCGCCTTGGGGTCCGCAGCGCGCGCAGCAACCAGTGCGGTGGTAACGTAGTTCAAGTTCGGGGTGGTACCGTTGGCGAGAGAAAAAACGAAGCTCCGGATCGTTCCGTCGTCGTTAAATGGCTCGTTGACCACATCCCAGCTGTATATCTGGCCGGCGTAGTGGCCCACCTATGTGCGTCCTTCAGCTACGATCTTGTCATCCCCGCTTGGGACATCAGCACAGCCACAGGCCGGGTTGTCACGGGCTGTCACGGGCTAACCCGGGCTGACCCGGGCTATGTACGTCAAGGCTACGTCCCCAGCCAACCACATAGCCCGCGACCAGCCCGAGTGGCGTAGCCCAACCCTCGGGCTGGAGGGGCCTGAACGCAGTGAGTGTAGCTGCTTACCACCGTGCCGCAGTGAGTTTGGAGGATGCTCGTCAATGTCGTGGCGTTGAAGTTTCCCGCAGTCACCCAGCTTGCGAGCTGGTTGTACCAAACGCAGTTGTGTCCACGGAGAAGTTGTTTGTTCGCTTTCGCCAAGGCTGCAATAGCGTCGCCCTGTGAAGTTTATGATGCGACGAAGAAGAAACAGGAAGTCTTGCTTACACCACTGAATGTGAAGGTGCCTTTAAATGCCCGTTTCAGAACTACTGACGAGAACTAGAAGCAGAGCAGCTCACCTCGCGATGGTTCAGTAGCGTCCTGAAAGGTGTTGTGAGCCACTGTTTTCAATCAAGAACTCGGTCTAACCCATTTCATGCTGTTTCCAGGAGTAATCTGGCCGAACAACGTGGTATCGTTCAGCTTCGCAACATACGCCGTGTCAGGTAACTCTGGGTTGTCTGTAGCCCTACGAGCCCGATCCTCAGCACATTTGAATCTATCCGCGGACAGAACGACGTACGAGCCAAAGTATAACTTCCCACCGAGCGACTTGGCGACTGTGTTCGATTTCACGGTGGAAGTGCCGGTCGGAAGTGCCGCGCTCGTAGTACTCGCGCTCGTTGTTGTGGCGCCACTGGTCATGCTGGACGCGATGCTGTTCTACGACGACGTTACATCCCCCGGTCTCAGTATCAAATATTGCAGTACGAACAGGGATGCCTGTAGGTTGTAAGAAGTCGTTGCAATAAGAACGCCGCAAACGTACATTGGAAGAAGAATGGGTTCAGTACCACACAAGTATCGGCGGCGAGGCATGTCTATAGGAACATCAAAACGAAGGCCTGTTCAATCGAAACTATGCACACCGTCGGACCGGTCCAACCGGTCCCGCCGCCTGTTTTTTTTGTGTCAGCTACGTAAATGACACCAGAACTCGACGTACATTGACCCCACTCCTGGGACTGGGCAATCGCCAATGGCAGCAGCGCAAGAGTCGCGGCCAAGGACACGGAAAT